CGTGGCGCTTATAACTGGCGGACGTGTACACCAGCTCCAGCAGGTACGATTAACGCTCAACGCAGCTTCCGTGATGGAAAAATATCTTCACGGAAAAAATTTGAGCAGGGGACATAGCTTCAGCAAACGTTTCGTCAAAGGAAATTTGCTGCGAGGATGCATATTCAGGTGCCTTTGCCGAAATACAAACTTTTTCTACAATCTTTGTTTGTTGGTTTGTCATCAATTCAGTTAATCTTTCATTCTTAAACTGTCCTGCTTTCTTACTTGTAAATTATGTTATTTGTTTATCATATACATCCCAGTGTCTTCACATGTTTCTTGTTGACCAATTTCTTTTTATGGTTGCCTGGAGCGATAAAAATACGTATAGCAGCGTAAGCTGCCCAACGTTCATATACTTCAAACAGTGCAGACAGTAAAAACTATTATCCACAGTGAGGTAAAGCCTATGACCGACGAGTTACGCTCGTTAAGAAAAAATCCCAATTTTAAATGGCACCTAAAATTACGCTATAAGGTACTTTGGCGTTTCCAAAACCGAACCCATAAAATAACGGTTGGCATTATTCCGGCAGCACCCTCTTTCCCGTCATGTCTGCACATTAATAGCTGCATTGCTTTGCTGGATCAAGCGACGGGCATCGTCTAACGCACGGCCGAATTGCCGGCGTTTTTGTTATTATTAAGAGAGGGATGGCGTTATTATGAAAGAAAGTACTTACCCATCGCACTTGACTTTTCGCATCAGGGCATTAAAAGGAAAAGGTAGTCAAGAACTTATGATGTAAGTGTTTTTGAGGAAAGGAGGCCTTGATTTGAAGAAGTATAGTGCTGCTTCAGAAGTGCTGCATGCCTCCGCATCTCTGCAGTTTTGTCTGTCACCTCGGAATGGTCTATTCGATCGAGCTCAGATGGGTCTACATTGCGGTAAAGGAAAGGTTGTCACATTAAATACACCAATTTCCTCGTGTTCTGTTGCATTCGCATAAAGCGCGACTCCATTACGTCGTAGCAAATGAGTTTTGATTTTCGTTTCGTCGTAAACAGCGACATATTAAGCAAACCAGTGCACATTACTTCAGACTTTTGTACATAAACAGAACAATTTAGAAGCTACATGTCGTTTCCGCACATTCAGTGAGGCTGGCTATGATTATAACAATAGGGAATATGACATGACTTCAAGGACAGCCGAAAGGTGCTTAACCAGGTAGACCTCGCGTAAAATATGAAGGTGTGCAGACATGTAAGTATGAATCGTTAGAAATATAGGAGTTGAGAATGCCGCAAGTTCTGTCTTGTTTATTTGTGTTTAGTGCGCTATGTATTGATTCGTGGGATGCTTCACATATGCGCCAAACGTAGTCCATTAAACTACATACATACATACATACATACATACATACATACATACATACATACATACATACATACATACATACATACATACATACATACATACATACATACATACATACATACATACATACATACATACATACATACATACATACACACATACATACATACATACATACATACAAACAGCGCATTACCTTGAAGCAGCCATTGAAGGTGGGCATACATTAGTGCAATGACTACCCGTTGTAGATTGAAAACTACGCAGGTAGTTCTGTTTTGGTGTGAAGGACACGGATGCATGAATTTAGAACGACGTGACGAAGCAGACGAAAAGACCAATATTCACACCAACAAAAGCGCCGTGTTCGTGTGTTTATAGGCCGTTCGTCTGTTTTGTGGCACCGTTGTAAATCCATCAATTCATGGGCGCCAGGTATGGCCTTCAGCAAGCACTTATTGTAGTTGGAATGGCACTACCACCTACAACTGTACATGGCTATATAGACAAAATATTTCTTGGTGTACACGAAGAACAGGACGACAATCCGAACACATCTTTAAGGCCACCGGTACTCAAATTATGAGTAATAATTTTAGCGTAACTTTCCTGAATTGTCTACCTGATGAAAATTTGGTAGTGAGACGCAATGCTTTAGTATTCTTTTTTGGCGCTGCTACGTGGCCAGGGAACTGATGGCCAGACGATTGTTATAATTGTTTATTCGTAAAAACCTTTAAATGGTCCGTGGCAACAGGGAGAAGCACAACACCAGCCGGAACTTCACAGGTAAACGGGGGCTTTTGCTGAAAGCCGAATGTAGCAATCGCTGGCATTGTGAAGCACCGTGAGTTTTTCTGTCCATCACACAAGTTGGTGGGCTGGGATCTGCGGATGAAATGCAATGAAAGTCAGTTCTTATAATTCAGTTTAAACCAGCATCGACAAGAAGAAATTGATTGATTGATATGTGGGGTTTAACGTCCCAGCACCACCATGTGATTATGATAAATGCCCTAGTAGAAGACTTCGGAAATGGCGACCACCTGGGGTTCTTTAACGTGCAGCCAAATCTGAGCACATCAGTCTACAGAATTTTCACCTCCATCGAAAATGCAGCCACCATAAGCCGGGATTCGATCTTGCAATGTGCAGGTCAGCAGACGAGTACCTTAGCCACTAGACCAACGCGGTGGGGTACAAGAAGAACTGAATCGTCCAATATGAATGTTTTTCTCACAGCTGACATGCTTTTATATCTTGCATACGTGATCACTTAATGTTGATAAATATTATTGACACCCCCTAGGCAGTCATACCTAATGACGTGAAGGCCTAATTAGCTATATAGTGGTAGTCCAATCAATTTTTCTGGAAGGCTAGAAAAGCGAGAACTCTTACTTGGTGAACTTCCCTGCCTTTTTTGCCTCTCTCTTTCTAGTCGTTCAAAACTCGTCTTCTGCTATTGTAAATCAGCAAGATAGCTTAGCGTGATACCTGTTTAAAATTGATCTATGTTTACTCTATTGTTCGCATGACAAGCTAATTTCAGTCGCAGTAACATCATCTCTACATACCGACCATCAAGGCACACGTCGCCAGTTTGGCGGAACGACACTTCCAAAAGAACAAAATGCAGATACAAAAAAATTGAGCGTTATGACGAACACGAACCTGCTACTTCACGACGACAATTTTACTACTCGTAACATTGACTCCAGCGATTCCATGTGCTGAAAATAAGTCATCCCAGCAAGATGGTGAGTTGGGCCAGTTTGTTGGCGTTCACAATGAATTGTTTTTTTTTTGTTGTTGTTGTTAAGCACACCCAATTTGATGAAGAATACAAAACAGTGCTGACTTCTCACAACTGAAAATTTTACTCACACATGCGTAAAAGAGCAGGGTGCAAAAAAGCACTTGTATTGGGAACGTGTAAAAATATCACAAGCTCTACGACGTGTCTAGAATACATACGCGTACTCCTTATCGTGCAGCACGATTTCGGCTTCACTAAACATGTCCCCTCTTCCTGATGTGGTAAAGTGACTATCTCGCGAGTAAGTAGATTCTAATGGCCCATGATAAATGAAACTGAAATCATTTTTCGCCATGACAATCAGCTGACTGGCGATACAGTTCAATCTTACTTCATCAGGAAGAGGAGACTTGACTGTGTTAGTCGAGCCACAATTGTGCTTGCTGCACATCGAGGAGTACGCTTATCTAGACACGTTGTGCTCGCACGTTGTGATTGTCCCAATACAAATGGTCGTTTTGCTGTGTCCTGCTATGTTACGCAAGAGCGAGGAATCTTCTGTCTGTATTTATATACCTTTTTTAAACTAAATGAGAAGTTGTGAGAAGTAAGCGCTGTCCTGTCTACTTCTTCTCGTCCAAGTTTGAGTGCGCTTAACATAACCAATGCAAAATGATTAGTCATATTTTAAATTTTCCATAATCACATGACCGGCTGTCTCCTTTGCAGTGTATTCCCCATTTATAAGCTTCCGGCAATATTTTTCTTATGTGTGAGGTGGTGTGTGCAGAGCTCTGGGGTTCTGTGTACTAGTGGTTTATGTTTTTAAATAAATACGAAAACTCCACACCTTCCGATAAAAATTATTGTGTTGAGGGCGTGATTTTGTATACTGCCCAAATTCTCTGCTCATCTATCCCAATGCTTACCGTGTTTTTTATGCAGAGCTGTCCAACCCAAACGATGCACAACCAGAGCTACTAAACTACTCTGCCACGCTACTACATGTTTAAAAATGCCGTATGTACTTCTATCCGCGACAGAAATCACACAACCGTGAGTACGCTGCTGCCTCGCGGCATCCTCCGACCAATTCAGTATCCTTATGGTTTTTCACCCTGCACAATATCCCTCATAATGTTCCTATTGTGCCCACGGTGTATTACTACACCTGGGAATGTCCACAAACACTAGGCTACCACACTACAATTTTATCCTTACATTCTTCTCTGGAGACTGCACTGTCTAGCTCAGAGCCGCGGTAGCAGCGTCGGCTGATCCAGCAGGCACTTGGTGTGGCACGAGCCATTGGGGCTCAAAACTAAGGGCTCCACACAACGAGGACGATCTACCCAACTAGACCTACATACAAAACGTTTTTTCTCTCTATCTCTCCTTGTGTAGCAGAAATTCTTTCAACAATTTCTGTCCTTCAATGGACTACAAGTAATTCGGATATAATCGCTAAACAGGTGTTACAATATATTCATTCTACGATGTTGTTATATGCGCAATCTGCCAGATCGAACGCGTCGTTATTATCGGGTTTATATTAGCGAACGAACCGTCACCTGCGTATGGTTGAAGGAGGCGTCCAGCACTTCCACTGCGAGCTCTCACTGTTCGTGGTGGCCAACAAGGGAAAACTGTCAACGCCCTCCGGGAAGCACCCGGTCACAATGCATCGTGGTACCTCAGAACGAATGTCAACAAGGCTTTGAGGCTGGGGGAACACGGATGGTCACCACACTCCTGGACACATCGTGTACGGGCACCGGAATCAGTTTCTTTTGCGTCTACACAGTTCCCGCATTGTGAATTTCTTTTTAATTGAGGGAAGACCAAGAACACTATACGGCTACCGGTCGGCTTTCGTCCTCAGGAAGGAAAGATGACCCGTGACCAGAACTTCTCTTTCCTGCGGACATCGGTACTTCCCCGGTGTGATGTCGACGGGCTACTAGGTGGCCTGTCTTGCTGTCCTCCGCTAGGCCTTCTCTCCGTATCAGCTGTCGGAGCGAGTGTGGCGTCACCCGACTGAGAACACCTGCCACTGTCTGTCGCTTCCTCTTGGCGTCCTGTACTCTTTGACCGGAATCGAAAAAAAGGGCAGTGCGTTCGCGCAGCGTCGGAAGCGACGTTTTCCACGGCATCCGCTTTGCCAGCGCCATCCAGGCGGCTCTCTCTATTCGCCTGTGGTGACGCCGACCGCGGGGAGTAGCTGTCGGCCTTTTTCTGTCTGTTTGCCTGCGATAGGCTCCACGTGAAACCACCGAAAAACGAAGTCCTGTTGCCGAACATCGGCTTGCTCGCCTCCGTTTTGACTTCGTGTGAAGACGAACCCCTGCGCTCCGTGCTGCTGACCGCACTGTCACGTGGCGTAGAGCCGTCGGTGTGTTTCGGTGTCGGCGCGACCGATGGCACCACCGCAATTGGTATGGTCTTTGTGGGAGTGAGTTCGCCACGGTCTCGCCCGTTAAGGCGGCCTCTACTTGGAGAGAATATATGCTCTATCGGTGGCGAAGAATCTTCATTTTTATTCCGCTGCGGAGTACCGATGTCGTCGACGTCTACGTTGGTACAATTGAGCCGGCTTTTAATGAATAGACCAATCTGCAGGAATAAGATGAATAAGAAAAGAACAATTAGAGTTTTCACCGATGTTCAAAAAATGTTAAACAGTATGCATATTTTATTTACCTCGTAAGAACTATTTTTAATCTTTCCCTTATCTCTACTTTGGAACACCGCCAACGTGGTTGAGTAAAATGCTAAAATGAAAGACGTGTGCTCTGTGATGACGACGGTCATTTTGTCTTACAGGTGGTTTGATAAAGGAGAAGAAATTCTGCCAGTTTCTTTACAAGAAAACTGCAAAGCACGCACCAATATCTTCTAGATTTGGTTAGCTTAGTTCTGAAATTTTTATTTGATATACTTAGGGAGAAGCAACATGCAAACAACTAACAGCATTCTAAAAAATTGTGTTGTTTTTTGTGATGCTCACGGGCTTTGAAATCTAAAACAAGTTTGTCATGATATCCTCAACTACATTGAGCCACAAACATTATTCATGCAAGTAATTCTTATGTACTAAATGACGAAGGATGAATCGTGTATTGTTGTTTACAATATTTAAAGGGCACATTAAACTAATGTTCCCCGGCTATAATTCCTACGTGAGTACGTCTGCTTGTCATTCTAGCATATGCATTGCTGTTATGACTGATTTAACCACCGACAACGCTTACCTTATGCAAATGATCACTCCTATATTACCGTAGATGAAGCACATTTCATCTCTCTCTATATATAGAGACTTTTTATTATTGTCATGGGCCCTTTCTTACAGCATCGGGCAAGCAGTGAGGGCCTGATTCTTCTATTGTTTAATTGTTGTAGTGTGCTTCCTGGAACGTATACAAGTGAAGGGAGCAGCTATAACACAGAGACGAGCGAAAGCAAGGTCTCTAACGCCACGTGACGTGGCACTTCGTGTATGCTACTCTCTCACCTCATCAACATCAAGGGATGGCGATGTGATGGCGGATGAACGGCGAACGGGTGATGAGGATGGAGACAGGAGCATGCTGTCATCAGCGGGCTGCTCTCCAGCAGTGGTCGGTTGGGCTTCTGCATTCTGTCGTGACGCTATATCAACCAGGTAGCAGCGAAGAGGAAAGTCGCCCACATCGAGGTTGTCTTCGAACACGTAGTCCTTTTTCGTCAAGTGGCTGCGTGTGAAGTGTGCAGTAAGATTTCAGTGTAATAACAGGGTAATAATGCAGAAAACGTTGCTTACGATATTTGTACGCCGGGTATTGAATAAATTTTCCGGTTAGAATCTGGATTAGCATGCTAAGACATCAGCTAGCCTGACGCTTCCACTTCTTCCAGTTTGCTATAGTTCCAGTTCATTGTGAACACCACGCGAATAGAGCCGTCCATGAACAATTGCGATCCCTTGTTAACCAGACAGTGAATGGTCCACCTAACCTCCTTTCACAACACGCGAGAATGCCTACTCACCTGCCGTGCAAATACTTTACTGCAATTCCCCCCCCCCCCCCATGCAACCACCAGCCTTTAAAGCACTATCCAAGGCTGAGCAAATCGTTTGACGCCGACTTTAAATGAATACATTGATTTCACACTTCATCAATTTCCAGATTAACCTGGGTGACGACTTACTACATTGTCGTCTATTCCATAGTGCTTGAGCTAATTTTAATTATATATTTCGAAAATGCCCAGCAAGACGAATCCCTCTCAGCAGGGGCTGAGTGCCGAGAGCGATGGGAGTAAGCTGATTGCCGACTCCAGATCGTATGCTTGGCCTTGGAGGACGCCGAAGCGCAAGGACTTTCGGCCGCCTAGAGCAGCCTCAGAGCCCATCGTCTTCATCTTTTCTTACCCGTCTTCCCCTCACCTTTCGCATTCTTAGTGTCCGTAAAGTTTTTATTTTATTTATTTATTTACACTTCACCTGCATTGCCGTAAAACATTACGTAGGGGAGGTGCATATGAGTAATTTCACAACACAGTTTGTAGTCAACACAATCGATGAAATAAATACAATACTCAAGATATTTTATGAGAAGAACATTCGAATAATAGTGAGCTACACAAATTACAAACGACGTCGCGGTCATACGTTTTTAAACATCCAAACGCTTCAAGGCAACAAATCATTCTTACTGGCAATGATGTTGTTGGCGTTGTTACAGGGAAGCAAAATAAAAAAATTCATTATCAGTTTTTTAACGACATCATCCGGTAAACGGTTTCATGTGTGTATTATTTATAGGAAAAGGAATTGCCATGAAAGTGGGTTTTGTAGGGGTATTCTAATATTTTTCGTTGATTCGAGACGTTGTGTCCTCATCTACCCTGAATTATATATGTCACCCAACAATTTTGCGAATGCTAGCAGAATTTGCGCGATTGTTTTCTTCTACGCACCATCTTTAGGCAGCATACGTGATTGTGCCAAGCTGACCTTCCCCATTACAGAAATGAAGTCATAGCCATCGCCATGATGGTAGCTCGTTCCTGTGATGTTGTTTTTTTCATGTAACACGACTTTTTTTACTTCTGAAATAGCGTGACATGAAGAGTCGGCGATATCAGAAGATCTAGTTGCACTCGAAACAACGAAAGCTACCGCTTCACAACTGCAAAAGGGAGGACCTTGGGGCTCTGTTCCATTCTAAAGAACACCGACTTCGCTTCAACATCCCTCAGTGTCACATCAAAACAAACGTATGCAAGCACACCCTGTGCTTCATACTAAGCATGCCAAAAAAAGCGTCCAATCTTGAGATCAATAAGCGCAGTTAGCCAAGAATTTGGATGTGAAAAGAAAGCAAAAGAAAAGCAGAAAAGTTGCACAAACATGAATTCAGATTTGTGCAGAACAACTGCACTTGCTTCATCGTTGCAAATTTATTGTATTGAACGAAAGATCCAGCAGCTTTTTAATATGCCGATTCTCAGCAGTGGGGGCAAACCATATAATAAACCTAATGTTTGCGTTGCTATCAAACCGTTTCTGTTCCTTTTCCAGCCACTCTGCCTCGTATTCTCTACCGAAGATACCCTTGCGAAGCACATAAAGCACTTTGAAGTGTGTGCTTTTTCAAAGACGGCAAACGGGCTAAGGATATTGATTCGTGTGCCAATACATCCTGAAGTGCTGTCGAAGCATCAAGTATGTGGGCGTGCACAATCAAAGAAAATGACGGCACAAAACAACAATTTTGTCTAAGCAAAAACAAAATAAAAAATAAAACAAACAAAATAAAAGCTTGCCAGCAGCTGGTCACCTCACCGGCGCAGAACTCCGTCAACATTGCGCACTTTTCGTCAAAGCCAATACAAATCTTGAATCACCGTGAAGCTGCTGTGCCACTTGAGTAGCTCTTTCAGGAAATCATGACCTGAGGGGTAAGTTTTGTAATAAACGTGAAGCGAATACGGCAAAGTAAGCATGGTTCAACGATTGTTTACATTGAAGCATTCGGGTGCTGTCTCTCCAAATAAATAGTTGGGGAGTATTGCACTTTTGAAGAAACGGGGCTAACAATGCTGGGCTTGTGCGTCTCTGAAGCACTATCTTTTTCTTTTATTCTTCCTTTCTTTTCTCTTCCTTTCTATTACTCCTTTTCTTTCCTTCTTTCTTTTTTTTTCTTTTCATGCCACTGCTCAATGCTGCAGCTTACCAGTTGCTTCCTTCAAGCCAAGAATTGCCTTTATCTGCGGACTATAGCAGCGCAACACTTGAATTGCTACAAGCAAACATGACGTTCATGCGTTCATATCCTGGGAACAATGAATTTCTAATGCGAAATAAGAAGCCAGGTCGACGTACCATCAGATCGCCATATCAAAAACGGCTATTGATGACAAGCCTATAATAGGCCAACCATTGCTAATGAAAAACGGCGCATACAAATATGTATAAAAAAGAAGCGACATCAAGGCCCACCTTTCTGAAGTCTGCCGGCTTTTTCAATCGCTACGCTGTTAGAACCAGCAAAACTTGTTACAGCTAGATCCACTTGAAGTACCTGGCAATATTCTTTGTACACATTGACTTGTACGTTTAGTTAGAGTAAAAGTTAGTTCCTAAGTAGAGACATATGGCAAGTCGAGAATCATCAAAAGTGTTGTCAGTGTTTTATTTTTTTTACTGGAGTGGAAAATGATGTCGCAAAGAAAATATTCCCTTGATGTTTTAATTTGAAGAGCGAATGACCTCAACCTTTCAGAAGTGATTATAATATGTGGGGTTTTACGTGCTGAAACACCCACATGATTATGAGAGACGTTGTTGTGGAGGGCTCCAGAAATTTACACTATCTGGTGTTCGTTAACAAGCGCTTAGATTGCACAGTACATGGGCTTCTACGATTTCGTCTCAATCAAAATGCCACTACAATGGTCGGGCTTGAAACCTTTACCTTCGGGTCATAAGCCGAGTACCCTAGCCACTGATCCATTGAGGCAAGCTTTCCAGAAAGAGAGAACATGAACCGAACATCATCGATAAACACTGCTGATTGTTAGCCGAGGCTCTTGATAACACTCGGACTAAACATTATACTGTAGGACGCTAACAAAAATTTACAGTTCATCTTTATTCGTGAACTGCATAGTTACCGTAGACGCCGCATGATGCCACCACCTGTCCCCGCACACTCGCCATCACACTGAAGGGAAATGGTGCGCTGATTAAACGACGTATGTTCTTCTCCCCTCGACATCTCCTTCTCCTAGTAGCTTTCATAGAACTCGCTAGTGCGCAAGGAAAGAGCAATCACCTAACGCTTGCGATAAATTCATGTAAGTTCACTTGAATTCACGGGCTTTAAAATTTTTTGCTGCTGTCAAATCGAGAGACAGTGCACTCTTTCAACGAGCCCGATCTCCGATTACTTCTAACAGTTTTTGAAGGTCCCTTTAAGTGAATGTACAATCCTGGTCGAAAGTTTCCAGGCTACTCTTCCACAGAAATATGTAGAATTGTGGCCTGGAAACTTTTGCCCCCCCCCCCCCCCTGTACGTTTACCGGAGAAAAAGGAGAGCATTTGCACGCCACGGGTAAGCTTTGAAAACTTTTAAATGGGCGTTTCATCATTTTAACAACAACTTCAATGCTATAAACTTGCAGTTTTATACGTGCGCTCAGTGGCTGGCAATATTGTTTGCAGTGCATCGAAGAACTTTTAGTCGTCAAAGTGACGGAAAAACCTCGGGAAAAAACCTTACCATTAAGAATACGACTTCTAGTCAGAATTTAAAATGGCAGGTTTTCACAATGGCCATCACATTTTGAAAGTTCTTTATACACTTGCATGGTCAGCCCTAGCTATAATCTCTTTTACGTTTTAACAGAACATGGCTGTAGTACAAATAAAGTAGAGTGAAAAGGTGGAAATACTAGAAACAAATGTTCGCTCCAAACATAAAAGAAAGGGCGTGCACTGGCCAGGCACATCACGCTTCACTGGTGTACATTCAGAATGAAACTAACAAGACAGGGCAGTGAGGGAGTAATAATAAAAAAAACATACCACCTCCTGGGTGCTTTAAGAATGTCAAAAGCACGTTACACGGGCACCGTCTCGTAAAAGTGGAGCTGCAACGTTTTCAAAGCCGTCTGTCTAGATGCCAAGCTTGACAGACCTTGCTATAGTCTGTTTTCTTACATAAAGTAGAGCAGTCAAATCAGCCCGGTGAACACATTGTGATAGCATACGTTTCTTTCAGTCTACCAGTACAGGAAAAGAAAGAAAAAATTCGCAGAAGTCCAGAGCGTTCTTGGAATAAGGGACCCTCCCACCTTCATTCACAAATCTTTATAAAATAAATGTTTTTTTCTATCTCTCACCACATCTCCAGTGGGAATCGGTGTCATGCGAAGCACATGCAACATGTTTAGCAGGATGTGTTCCAAATGGCTAGCGCAGAAGAACCGAGCATTGGGTGACTTGGTACTGCTCAGTGGATGACATTTCGCGCAAAAAAAATTTGACAAGTAAGGGAGCACATACAGGCGCAGACTGCCTGCGCCTGTTTATTAACTCACTTTTGTTGTACGTTTCAAGAAACATGCACCTAACCATAGCGGCCTTCCATCAGCTCATATGTTCCTCAATTCTGTTTTTTCTGCCTTCAAGTGCATGAGTATCTTGTGCATGTAAATCACCATCTCTGCTTTGAAATCATTAGACACGTAATCTAGACGAACAAACAAAAAAGATGAATGTTCGGCGTACTCGTAAATCAACTCGGCGCTATCGCTGGAGCTGGGTGACACCACCGCTCGGACGCTTCCGAATGCGGGGGCCACCGGATGCCTTCGGAAGGTCTATGGTCATTTCATTCGGCGATCTGACAGCGTCAAGGCTCCGGTCATTATGACTGCTTTGCAACAATATTCTCTCATCCAAATATTTCACTAATTGATGACCACGGTGTGTCAGCTGAAGAGACATATAGCGAACTCTAATGACTGTCCGGGCACCGGCGTTTTTTTATACTACAATATCGAGCATTGCGGTAAATGATGATGTTAGACCTTAAGGACTTCTTAACACCATCTGAAAACTTTGCCCCTTAACGGCCAAGTTTTAAAGCAGTCATACTTCTGTTGATAGATTTTGATTATGAAGATACATTACGTCGTTGTTTTCTGTTTACAAATTTACAGATATGAAAACTGCTTTTAAGGGTGGTCTAGCTCAATACATACAATGATAATGAAACAGAACGTGCTGAAAACACATATATTTATTTATACAGTACATGCTCACACACTAAAGATTGCGCGAACGTTGGTTCGTCGTAACGAATGTATTCACAAGTAATAGTCTTGATTTGTGATGTACATTTCGAAACACGCTTTTGAAACATCGCCATCATCTCAAACATTGTCTGGGACAAAGACAACATCCGAGTCGGGTTCAGACACGAAATTTATGTCGTCACTAACGACGATTCTGTACTCCTCCAAAAGCACCTTTTTTTCTCTTATAACTTTTTTTTTATCAGCGCCGCCACCAGCCTTCTTTCGAAACGATATTGTGAATTGACTGTTGCCAAACATAAAACGCACGTGAACGGCATGGAATGCCGTCTTCATTGACCACTATTATCATCTAGTTGAAAATTGGAAGCAAAGACACTGACAACCAAAATGCACCTCTGGTGGAGGAAGGAGCGTAAATTTGGTCTGGGCGGGTATGGCCCGCAATTGGCAATGTCGGTACAAACCCTTGGCACGAATAAAGCTTTAGTTTGCTGAATAAAAAGCCAAAGAACAATCGCTTTATTTTTTGCTTGTCTTCGCCGCATTTCAGATATACAATTACCGACGCAAGGAATATATTCAGGTGTCGTTTTGTGCAAATCAGCTGTGAATTGGTCCACAGGCGTGGCATATCAGTTGTGGATTGCTAATTTCCCTGCTTTGCCAAGCAGTCGTGCGCCCGATCGTTTTTTTTTTTTTTGCGTGACTTTCATGCGTGATTAAGTGATTTCGTCTCGTTTTGTGCATTTTCGACTTGACAAGCGTAGATAACAGCGCGTAGCCCAAAAGTGAGATTATTCCTATAGGCTCTGCATCACGTGTTGACTTCGTCAACGTGTTTTAGACAGACATAAGAGACAAGTGAGAGGTAGCTCTCACTAAAACGAGTAATGAAGACAACAATGGAACCAACGTCTTTTTTCACTTCTGAGTGGTTTAGTGGACCGTTAAATGAATCGATGGGTACCTATAGGCTTAACTTCGCAGTGTTCAAGCAATCAAAGCGCTGCCTGAAACGAGGCAGTAGTAGTGCCCGTTCTCTTACCTCCGTGCCACCTGTGTGACGTTCACCCTGGAGGGCTTGGACAGGCTCTCGGTCTTGTTCGCCAGGGTAACGGTGTTGCCGAACAGGCAGTAGCGAGGCATCGTCATGCCGACCACTCCCGCTGTGGCGTAACCCGTGTGCACACCAATTCTCATCTATAAGGAAAAAAACAACAAGCCAAAATAGCTGTGAATACGTAATTAGTGGTAGCCAATGATTCCACACTATGCTCTTTACGAATGTGCAAGGTTCAATTGAAATCACTAATTAGGGGGAACGTATACACTGGACTAACTGATAGGGTTGCATAATTAAATGAAAACGCTCGTTTTGTGTTTTTGCTCGCTCTGTGTGTCGATCTTTTCGCGGTGTGCTTTAAGCAGGCTACTCGGTGAAACTGTCTTATATCAGATATTTTAAGCACTAAAGTTTTTATTTTTTAAGCTCTGCTCCATTATCATTTTCACTTTCAATATAAGTTAATGTTCCTGTTTTACAATAAAAATACTCGTTTGGCAGCACTTTCTTGTTATGCGATTGATTGTAGTTCTAGCGAACGAATGATCACCATACATATTTCAGTTTTCCGTTCATGACGGCGCATAGCCGAGTGCACGTACATTGAAAAAACAAAATACAGCGTAGAAAAAGAGGAATCACTTCCAGCAGGTCTTGAAGAACGGTAAATTAACCGCAGGAAACGGTAACCCCAAAAAAGTGGCGTTTACCGGTCGTGGCACACCGGGCCATGCCCCACACCCTCCCTGAAAGCAAGATAGTACTCGCCCCCTCCTCCCCCTCCCCCTGAAAGAATTCAGTCTATACGCCCCTGACCCTAAATTGAAGAACGTCCTGACATATAATTTTCTGCATGAACCCATGACTGCCCTACAACATTGCCCGGTAATCACGCTTAAGCCATGACAGTGCAGTGGCAGGCAATTATTTCTCAGCAGTCGCGTCACTTTCTATTTGTACTGACAATCTTTTTCCACGTCCACACGCTGTCCTACACGACGTCCTGAGTGCACAGTCACAGTAAAAGCCAGATGCAATGCTTCGGCTCTGTTGTAAGGCAAAGAACTCGGGTGCACGTATTTCAATGTGAACTGCAAGAGGCATCTAATGGCGGTATAGACTACTTGAATCGGCTCTCCCGTGACGGGGTTGAGCACGCTCTTGGTGGCTGTGATCATGTCGAGCCCCATCGCGACTAGCCGGTCAGCGTGGTCCTCCACGAAGTCCGGTACGCCAGCCACAACCACGTACGCGTCCCCGATGGTCTCCACCTACGTGAAAGAAAAAAACAAAAACCTTTGACCACCAAATTGCCCCATCAGACTTCAGAGAGAAGAGAAATCATGAGCCATAACTAATACTAATCATCATAATTCTTTATAAACACTAAACGATCCTTAACCGGACATTACATAGCGGAGTTTACAGAATTGAAATGTCGTATATTCCAACAAATGATGATTGCGAAATTAACATCCCGACAGAATGGACAGTGCACGCAACAGAAACCAATGTTCCACAACCAGTGCTCACTGAGAAGCAGAAGCATAGAACACAGTGGTCAGAATGAGCCTAATTTATTATAACAAAAAGTTGCAGATGAATAAAGGTTGAAATAAACCAGACTTGAAGGTAAAACTCATAATAGTGCACAAAAAATAATAAATACAACGCATTTTACTATATATTGGCAAAGTATTGAAAAAAATGGAAGAAAGAAAACAGACAAAATGCGTGTATATAACAAAGATGTACAAACACTGCTTAAAATTTTCTGAATTTTTTTTGAAGGTTTAATATTATAACTTCACGAAGGCAATTCTAGTCCTTCATGGCTGCAGGACGAATTGATTTTTTTAAGGCAAAGGTCTAACCGTGAAGCCTTAATTGAGGTTGGAATTGAACAGGTGGCGACAAGTTCGAGTGAGTGGAAATAGCACTGTACTCTGCAGGCGGGAAAAGTTCTGATATAATTTATGAAACGGCGCCACTGTGAAGATTTTGCGTATTTCTGGTAAAAAGGAGGAAGTTCAAGAGATGATATAATGAGGGTTACGCTGGTGTCTGAATACATATGCTTAATACATTCACTTGCATCAAACAAAATAACGATAAGACAATTTCAAATTAAGTACGAATTTCAGAAGTATAGACAGATATGAGGCACACATGCCAACGTATGAACGGCCTTTTTTTTCCACGCCATGACAGTAAGTTTCAGCCTCGAAGTGACAGTCGAGCACTTCCAGGTAATACACTGCTGGGCAGGGACACAAAGGAATTTAGTTTGTCTTCGACAAAACTGTTCACACCGGGTGGTTCACGGCTACATCAGGCCAAATATACGTGATCTTGTGTTATACCCTAGCACTATTTTAACTGTTTAGCTAGTCCTTAAGATCTGGATTAGTCAGTTCTACTTCCCACTGACCTTCTCTTGGCGGGTGGTTATAATTTTTAATGGATTCTTCTAACATACTCAGACAATGTATTAGACCGTAATAAATTATCATGGGGAATCCCATTGCACTTTTGCCAGCGTCTTGTGGTCTTTCCCTTTAAGTTAGAGTGTATATTAAAATGTGTGATCTTTACTAAAAACATGATCTCTGTGTTATACAAAGTAAAGCCCTCATTTACAAGGCACACCATAAACGAAAACTGCAGTTTAATTTCGACCACCTGAAGTTCTTTACCTAGCGCTAAATTTAAGCAGATTCGATAAAGTCGCATTTCGTCCCTGCGAAAATGTGACCACAGCGGTGAAGTTCGAACCGATGACCTCGATTTTATCTGCGCAATAATTTAAAACTTGGTGAGCCAGGGTGCACACGCTACTTAGGCGGCACGTTATTCTGCATTTGAGGAATAATCCTCCCATCAATGAAAGCAAGAGTGCTGGTCTCTCTCCAGCAGAGACAGCCGAAAAAAAATCTGGCAGCGGAACTATACGGTTTCGTCACCTTCGTAGTGGCACACTCAAGAGATCTCCGTAGTTAATGATTCTACGCACGTGGAAAGCACACAGTAACCGCAGTCTAAGACAAGTCTATTCAGAGTTCTTGTGTAATGATTGTCGTAATATTGAAAGATATCTTCTAAGATAATAATAGGAATTTGCTGCTGTGATGAGTTTGTTTGGAAGAAAAAGCCTCAGCTGAGACGCCACAGTGTCACACCGATTGTTCCATTGAAACAGAGCAAACGTGTAGCCGTAGGTGTATAATGGTTCCCTCAGTAATGCATATTTTATTTCTCAAGCAAACTTAGTGGCGAAATGTGGGCTGCAATAGAATTCGCACATCTTATTATTCCTCAAAGTTCGTTGTACTGAAACATGTTTTGCGGTGCAGAGAATAAAGTTTGTATGACTGCAGCTACTTACTTCCGTGCGTTCTAGAACGTACAAAGAACTTGAATGGTTACCCAAGAACATGAATTGCACGTTAGTAAACTGTATGCACAAGAGCAGAATTTGAGAGGAAATTGGTTAGGGAGCATTGTGGCGCCAAAAAGGTGGTTTTATGCATGACGTACGGGAGAATTGAGTGAGCTTGTAAGATCAATGCCGATCATTTTAGTTTTCTGCACTTATTCAGTGACAGTCATACTCACCTTGTAGACTCCGTGCACATTAGAGAGGTTGTCGAACTGCAAGTACAACTTGTTGAGCAGCCGCACGATGTCCATGGGCGCGCAGCTACCGCACATGTTCGTGAAGCCCACGATATCTGAGAAGAGGCACGAGACCGTCTCGAACTTCTCCGCTTCCACGGGAAGGTTCTGGCAGAGAAGCTTGGCTACCTAAAAAAAGGCAATATCACTGGCATATTGCGTGGTAACATATAGCCATGGTGTACACTGGGCTTCAAGCTTGATAGCGAGAAGTCAACGTACAGCCGCGGCCACGTCTGTGAAGAGCACGCAAGCAGCCGGTTATCGCTCTGTGGGGCGAAACCTTGAGGCAGTATCGGGCTCTGATGTGGTCAGCCTCACAAGTAGGACACGAATGCTTCTGATATACCACTTTAGAGCCCGAAATTGTCTCAAGGTTTCGCGCCGCGGAGCAATAACTGGCGGCACGCGTGCTCTACACAGACGTGGCCGCGGCTGTACATGCGGTGGACGACGTAGACGAAATGTCATGATGGTTTATCAGCTATACCCAGTCGCTTGTCGAGCTACTGGGTAGCCAGAGTTCTTGAGCCATAAATATTGGTGCTATGGACCTGATGGTTCCAAACCTAATAAAATAAATACTTCTGCTCACTGAATATTGCGAACGTCATCCCTTTTAGTGAAGATTTATACCGTTCCCTTTGTTCACCCTAATGACTGTGGTACTGACAAGTGCTACACTGCGCTCTGAACAGCACTGAATGGCAGTGAACACGACAGTGAACATCAGTAATGAGCCAAACGTTTGTATAAAAAAAACTTGGCTAATCCCTTTTTCATTGTAATTGGTCTAACGCGAAAGTTAAACGCGCCATCATAGGAATTGTGCTTATTGTGTAGCGATATATAGGAAAGCTTGTACAATTTGGTTGGCGTTTCCCAGCTAGAGCACCGGTTGACGTGAACATAGCCACGTTGATGCCTAGTGGCACGTCTCCATGGTGACGACTACCACCAATGATCATGATTTAACCGTTGTGGTAAGTGAACATTTTAACATATACCTAAACCAGCGTATTGTTGATCACGCACAAAAATGACATCAAGAAGCACACACTATAGTGCTTCCTAAAATGCGCATCTTATGCAACTTTTCAAGATAAACAGAATGGTGTGCGCTCCTGAAGCCCACACCAGCGCTCAAGCTTCCAGCACTTCAGCTACCTGAAACGCTGAGGCCTGGCGTTTTTTAATGAGGCTGCTGCTATCACACTAGACGTAGTCAGTGGTGAAAGTTCGTTGGTGAACGTTGATATGCTGTAACTTTTTTCACCAACAGTGTAACTTGGGTCATTAAAATAGTTATAGCCTTTTTAAAAACAACTGGAGTATATGCACCTATATTAGATCATTCCAGCGACTATAGGCGGCGCAGTGGAAGGTAGAAATGGCGGATGAGACGGTGGGTGTGTTCCAGTACTCACCGTAAACGCCTAAATAGGCAGCTAAATAGACAGCGGCCAACTTAAGTGACATTCCAATTCTCGCGTGGTCGGCAAAATAGACAGCTCCGAGAAGACCACATCGTAGACAAATACGATGCAGGCTACTTTGCTGTCCAAGCAAGATCGCGGCTCAGCGAATCACTCGGATCGATAAAATCTCGTCGGAATGGTCGTCCGCACACAAGCAGACGCTTTTCGAGAAGCTCAATGTGAATAACGTTTGTTTGTTTTGATTTCAACACGAAATAATCCAGAAAATACAACTGTGACGTTTGTTCATTTCAGCTTTTTCTTCTCGACGCGAGGGGGTGCATTGTCGCGTAAAAGCCGTCCAGAAGTGTTCCAATTCTCGGACAGGATGGGCTTGGTGCTGTCTTCTAAGCAGTCTGCGTAGACTGTTTACGTGTTGTCTAGGAATTGGAACACAGCCGGTGATGCCGCGAGTGTTTACGTCAGCGTCGAAAAGCGTGAAGACGCGTTCATTGGTTTATGACTACTGAGAGACCGAACTGCGTCGCAGTTTTATCACCGTGTGAGAGCTTCGGATGGATGGATGGATGGATGGATGTGGCTGTACCCTTTAGATCGGGCGGCGGCTAACGCCACCTAGCCGTAATACTTAGTGAACTAACCATTACATTTATCTTTTTTTTCCCTTTAAATAATGAAGTTGAGGGTTCGTACTTCGCAGTGAAGGGTTTAATTTTCACTCGTGCCTTGACTTTAGCCACCAATCAGATAACCTTCTTCTAGTTAAGTCTACCCGCTTAAAGTCTATTTTGCCCTCGCTGTCCCTAAATCCCAGTGCTTTGAAAAACTCTGCGCCATCATCCTGAACTATAGGGTGAAGCCCTTTACAGAACATTATCAAGTGTTCGGCAGTTTCTTCTTCCTCTCCACACGCACTGCATACTGTGTCGACCCCTTCGTATTTGGCCCGATATGTCTTGGTTCGCAGTACTCCCGTCCTGGCCTCAAACAGTAGAGAACTACCCCGAGTATTATCATAGATCCTTTCCTTGGCAATTTCCTGCTTAAAAGTTCGATAGATCTCTAGTGCGGACTTCTTAATCATGCCCATTCTCCACATGTCAGTCTCCGTTTCCTTCACTTTTTCTTAACCGATAGTTCTTTTTGGTTTGGCCACCTGCTGTTTTCTAAGTATTTACCAGTCAACTTCCTGGTTCGCTTCCTCCATTTTGTATCGACATTCTTCATGTACAAGTAGCTGAAAACCTTCCTAGCCCAACGCTTTTCCCCCATTTCTCTCAATCGCTTCTCAAATTTTATCTTGCTGCTAGCTTCCCTGCCTTCAAATGATGTCCATCCCATATCACCTTGTACTCCCTGATTTGGTGTATTTCCGTGAGCTCCTAAAGCAAGCCTACCTATTCCACGTTGCTTAATTTCTAATCTTGCTTGAACTTCGGATCTCATGCACAAGACCGCATTGCTGAACGTCAGCCCAGGAACCATGACCCCTTTCCATATTCCTCTCACAACATCATACCTATTGTAATTCCACAGTGCCCTATTTTTCATGACTGCTGCATTCCTGTTACCTTTAGTCGTCACGTATATTTCGTGTTCCCTCAGATACTCGGTCCCATTGCTTATCCATACGCCCAGATATTTGTATTTATCTGTTATCTCTAGCGTGACCTCCTGTATTCTAAGCTCACTACCTTCGTTGTCATTGAAAATCATGACTGCTGATTTTTCCCTACTGAATCTAAAATCTAACCTATCTCCCTCATTACCGCAGATGTCCATCAATCTCTGCAAATCTTCCTTGTTGTTGGCCATTAGCACTATATCATCTGCGTACATTAATGCTGGTAGTGCCTGATCAATAAGTTTTCCTTGTTTGACTAAAGAGAGGTTGAAGCCCAGTCCACTTCCCTCTAATTTTGCCTCTAATCCTTGTAGGTACATCATGAATAATAAGGGTGACAGGGGCACCCCTGCCTAAGCCCCCCGTTTTACCTCTGCAGGCTTGGATACCTGTTTTTCCCACTTTATAACTACCTTGTTACCTTTATAGACACCCTTTAAAAGATTACTGACTACATGTTCCACGCCTAGTGTGTCCAGTATTCCCCACAATTCCTCCTGAACCACGCTATCGTACGCTCCCTTGATATCCAAAAATGCTAGCCACAGGGGCCTGTGTTCTTTTTCTGCTATTTCGATGCACTGCGTCAGTGAGAACAGATTGTCTTCCAACCTCCTGTGTTTCCGAAACCCATTCTGCAGTTCCCCCAACACCCCCTCATCCTCTATCCACGCCTGCAGTCTTTCCTTTATAATCTGCATCGCCAGCCTGTAGACCACTGATGTCACTGTTATAGGACGGTAGTTGTTTATGTCAGCTTTGTCCCCCTTTCCTTTATAGATCATGCTCATCCTGCTAAGTTTCCATCCATCGGGAACTTCACCATCGATTATTATTGTACTCACTGCCTCTCTCAAAGCCTGCTTAGACTTCGGACCTAATGTTTTTACCAGCCTAATTGGAATGCCATCTGGGCCTGTTGATGTACTACTAGGAACCCTTTTCTCAGCCCTTTCCCACTCTTGTTGTGAAAATGGAGCCATTGCACCACTTGATTCGTCTTTGTCTATTGTGGTGCATAAAGTACTTCTTGTTGAAATTTTTCTGTCACCCTTGTTCTTATATATTCAATAGCTTCGTCCCCTTCTAGCCTAGCACCTTGGGCTGTAGTTACAAAGTTCTGCTCTAGGCTCGTCTCATTTCTTAGAGAGTTTAGATGGTTCCAAAATTTCGCAGCTGCCTTTCTATCTTTTTATGTACTTCTGCCAGCCACTGAGCTCCCTTCTTTCTAATCTTTTCATTGATCAAAAGGGATGCATCCCTTCTACAGCTTAGAAAGGTTGCCCATTTTCTTTCCACATCATCTGTCGGTTCACCCCGCTGCTTAGTGTGTCTGTGTTCCCTAGAGGCTTCCTGGCGTTTTGCTATGGCTCTCTTAACTTCCTCATCCCACCAACTTTTGGGTTTGTGTCTTCTTTTCCGGGGTGACTTGTCACGCGTCTTAGCAAGCTCTATCTCAAAGAGTCTAATTAGATTCGTGTATGTCCATACTGTCTTATTATCCTCCGTGATTACTTTCTCAATTTGTTTAGTGGCTATTTCAATTTGCCTTTCTGGATAAAAATTTTCCTGTAGTTGCTCATCTTGTCTCCTTCCCACTTTCACTGCTCTTCCAAAACTTAGCTTGATACGTTTGTGATCGCTACCCAGACTTCTGGAGCCACCTTCATCTATGTGCATTTCCCTGAGCTTATCATACATCCTATGTGACATCAGTGCATAATCTATCGTCGACTGAAGCCTTCCTACCTCCCATGTTATTTGCCCTTCACACTTCTCGGTACTGTTGCAAATGATCAAATCAAGCCTTTCACACATATCCATTATCATTTTGCCTGTCGGGTCGGTATACCCATCTATATCTTCTATGTGCGCTTTCATGTCTCCTAGTATAATTATCTCGCACTCTCTTCCTAACTCCTGAATGTCCTTTGATATACACTCTACCATTGCCTGGTTTTCCTCTCTGGCCTTTGCTCCCGTCCACAAGTACACGAAACCAAGGAGTGTCACTTGACCTGCCACTTTCCCTTTTAGCCATAAATGTTCCTGGCACTCCTGCTTGA